CGCGGAAGGCCTCGCCACGGCTACCGATTTTCTTCTCCACGAAAAATGTTTCACCTGCTGTTACAGTAAATCCACACTCATGGCACCCTTCCACAACAGACTCTATCAATATCACATCCATATTCGACCGGACACGCACGCTGTATATGCAGCAAGTCCTGGGAGCAATTCTGAAAATTGAAGGTATCCTCTATCAAGAGTTACCGATTAAGATCGATGACAATCGATGATAATCGATAACAATCGATATAACCCATAGCAATTACGAGGACTAGGATTGTGAGTATCGATTTTCATCGATTAATTGAGGCATTCGATAATAATCGAGTAATTATAATCGATCATATTGATTATATCGATTGCTTTCCGATGATCGATTTTCATCGATTGGGCACGCCGGGCTTATACGCGCTTCCTTAATAACTGGCAGAAAGAAATGCGATGTTTGGAAAGTTCGCATTGTGGGTGCTTATTCTTCCTGAAGTTATTCTTCCTGTTCTTATTCTTTACTCTCAATAATCAGACCGTGAAGTGCCACACATGCGTGGACGGGTTGAACTATAAAACTCTTTAACGGAAGGAATTGCTAATGTGATCAAATTGTTGAGCAAGGAAAATACACGGAAAATAAGCTGTTCATTGAAACGCTAGAACAGAAAAATATTCATACCTCCCAAGAGAAAATGAGGTTGTGGTCCCTTGTTCCTCCTTCAGGTTAAATAAAGTTCAAAAAGGTAGCGCTGCAAGTCCAGAGAGTTCCCAAAGGGTTGCAATCGGAAAATATGACATATCAAAGCTTTCGGTTCTTCTGCTTCAGAAGAGGTTGTCCTAGAAAGAAGGGCATCGAGACACAGACTTGACAAGCAGTCAGGGCCTCGTATGTATGAACACGACTGGTTGAGGCCATTACTGTACTATAACTGGGTGGGAAGCCGGTCAAGTGAGTTACAAGGCAAGCTACTGGCTTCAACCAAAAGCTGCAATCAAAAATTTTACAAATAGCGCCAGTTTAATCTGAGTTTCAGAAATTATCACAAGACATCATTTTTTGTTTGTTTTATTTGGAACACTATGCTGAGAAATTAATAACAAGGAAGAAAATTGTCTTAATTATACTTCTATAATTATCTGCGAAAAAATATCATATCTATTTCCAGAA